CAGCACTAGTGTGGCCAGCAGGACCAGGGTAGGGATCATCTCCCTGGACTCGGCGCTGAGGAGGCTGCTGCTTGAATCCTGGGGTCGGTTTTGTGCCCCTCACTCCAAGAAGGACCTTTATACCAAGCATTTTATCAAGTTCTGCCTTGGTGCAACTCTCTTTAACAGCCAAATGCTCCAAATGAGACTCGAGTCCTTGCCTCTGTGTTTACTAATTTTGCAGATACCTGTGTGCTTGAATGCTGCTTTACAACACACAGTTTTTAATTAGAGCTTGGAAAGGGACACTTGAGTCAGAATCCACGTTTTGGATACCCTTACCCTTCTAGGTGGTACCTACTGCAGTGGATCCAGACTATGGCTCCTGAGGCTGCTGCAGAATTAAAAATAAAAAATATTTTTAATTACTTTCCTGAAGACTTTCTGACCTCTCTTTTTGCCGTATGTTATGTCTGGTTTAGGTTACTATGGATTTTGGTCTGATATCAGGTTCTTCTTCATGACTTCTTGAGTCTTTTACTTCTCTCCTCCTCCTCCAGGCTCTTTTTGCTGCTCTTGTGCCATTCTCTGCAAGTTGAGTTGTGGAGCTGGAGGGATGGGGAGTGAAGTGGGGCTCAAACTTTCCAGTAAGCCGTGGTAGAAGAAGGGCTGGGCTCTGATCTGTTTTTTTTTTAAAACTGGTGAGTCCTCAGCCTCTTCTTGAGAGCTGTAGCTGCTCTGTGCTTTCCACAGGAAGGCTCTGAGGATGCTCCAGGCAGCTGACAGTTTGCACATTGGAGAAAAGAAGCTGAAAAGCTGCCTGATGGTCACAGTTGTGAAATCCACTTTATGCCTGCTGTGCTCACCCCAAAAATGATCTCTTTGAGCCTAGCAGTTTCTTTAAGAGGACAGCTGGTGCTTTAGCAATTGTTGCCCCCATGAAATCTGCCAGGAGCCTTCTGGGGCTTTTTTTTTTTTTTTTTTCCTCTCTTTACAGCAATTCCAAACCCCTTTTATTAAATCTAAACCCCCCTCTTCCCCGTTTGATAGTTCATATCAAAGCTATAATTACCCAATATGAAGAGGCAAGCATAAAATAGTTTCCTAGGGAAGTTTACACAAAAGGGAATAGCTGATTATATATATATTATTCCTTTTTTTTTCCCCCAGCCCTTTGAGAACATCTGTAAGAGGCTGAACAAAGCAAAGAGAGGTGATCTCAGACCTGATGATCTCACTCTGATCCTGTTGGGTTTCCCACTCCAGTGGCTTCCTTAAAGGAGCATTGCCAGAAAGAGCCATCCTAGCGCTGCCAGGGGGTTGTGCAACCCATCAGTGGCCACCGAGCAGGGATTCCCTTTGGAATTCCATCCCAACACACTTCAAAGGAGCTGGCCTGTCTCTTGGCTGAGGTCTTTCATCACAGGTTCTGTGCCTGGCTCCCTGGTGCAGTTGCTTAATGAGACTGGACTTCTGTAATTCCAGAAACGAGAGCCTGAAAGATCATTATGTGAGTTATAAGCTCTTTTCACTGGAGATACCAGGTTGTTGGATAATTGTGTTTCCTTGGACTGGCCTGAAGCAGACTGATCTAGAGGAAATAATGATATTTTTTCCCCCACTGCTAGAATGGGATAAACTACTATTTTCTAACCTGTAGTCCCTGCATCCCTGCAGTGCCTGGGTTATTTGGGAGGGCTCTGCAAAAAGTGACAGAGAAAAGTCTTGTCCTCATCTCAACCTAAGCCATTCTATGATTTTGTGATCCACAGCTGTTAGATGAGAAACTTCAGAAGGTCCATGTAGTGAAGAAGGTGGAAAATTCCAACGTGGACAGCCTCAGGAGCTCGGTGAATGTGCTCAGCTCCTCCTGGTGAGGCCAAATTCAGTGACTTCTCCCCATGGTGATACCCTGCGAGTGGCTAGTTGTGGCACTATGTGTTCCCAGCTCGCTGGTGGGAGGTTGCAAACCATTCTGTGCCACGTGGAGCTTCCACTGTTCCCCATCATCCATGTGGTTGAGAAGACCAAGGCGTGGTGCTGGTGCTTCTATGTGTTCTTTTGCCCCTCGCAGCAGCACCAGGGGCTGGGTCCTGCCCTACCTCAGCTGTTCAGGTAGATGCAGCAAGAGCTCAGTGACCCACATCATCTCTGTGGTGAGGGATTTTTTTAGGTACTCTGTGGGTAATTATTAATCTTGGCAAAAATACATGTATATTAGGACCGGTGATGACTGAGTTGTGTCCTTTCAGAAAGGCATAGAAGGTTTTCTTCTCTTTCTCTGGAGCTAGAGTCCCAAACAGCCAGGGATTTATCATTCCCTTTTCCTCACAAAACTGCTGTGACCCTTTGCACGGGGACAGCCCTTGTCAGCAGGCTGGGGGAGCAAACCCTGGGGAGATACATGCACCAGAAGCAGGTATCTCACTGCTTGATGCAGGTTAAGATGCTAGGGGCTCTGGAGAGCTGTATAAATAATTAGTATTACTTCTTTCTGCATCTGAATTGAGTATAGAGCTTGGTAAGCCTTTACATCCCACAGCCCTTTTTTGGGGGGTATTAGATTTATTAATTTTCTCCCAATTTCTGTGTCCTTCCTCTGTTCTCAGTCCTCTGTAGGATCTGCAGCAGATTTGGTTCCCAGAATTTATGTTGGAATTCTTCAGAAAAAGGGTGAAACTGTTCACATGGACTTTCTGGAATAGGCTCTGGGAGCACATCAACTTTCTTCTGCAAAACTTTGTGTTTGTTTCGTATTCAGATGCGAGATTCAATTTTATCTATGAATCCTTCTAAGCATAATTTTCCAAAGACACCACGATGGTTTCCCTTTTTTCAATTTGCTTTCTTTAGGGTAAAAGAAAAGAAAAAAGGAGAATAATGGTTAAATAGAGTTTGCCATGTCTGTGCTTAAATCCTTACTTGTACCCAGGCACTTCCTACCTTCTTTGGTCTCAGACACGTGTCCAACCCTGGCAGCCATCATAACTTACACAAGGAAGTTGTTAGAAATCTGTTCATGAATTTAGGTAGCCCCTCAATGGGCTTCAGAGCAGCAGCCCTCTGGGCTGCGTATGGAACAAACCATTTCAATCCACTTGTAGCTATTTAGGCAGCCTCTTAGGTCTTCCCTTTGTGCTTTGTCTGTGAGAAGGCTAAGTGGAAAACGTAAAGTCATCAGAAATCCTTTCATCTGAGCTGGGCACACACATATTAAAATGTCTGTCTTAGAAAGACACAGATATTACAGAGCAGAGCAGAATTTGAGAACGTTTGGATCCCTGGTCTGTGCATTTCTGGATGCTTAGCTTGTTTGGATTAGTTTTTTGTTTGGATGGTGATTTTTCTGTTTGTTTTTAGGGTAGTTGAACCTTCTTTAGGAGGTGTTTGCCCTTAAATTGTTGGGGTGCATGCTTCAATCCCAGCTCTAGCACAAATCTGGCTGCATGTTCTGGTATTTAAGAAAAAAAAATTAACGACGAGACTGGAATGGCTTTACAGAATGTTCTCTGTCTTCAACAGCTGTGCCAATCCTCAGTGTTTTTAAGTGCTGTCAGTGATACTAGACTTGGTTGTGCTGGAGAGATGTTTGCTGCCAGCTGTAGGTGCAGTGCTCGTGTGAGTAAAGCTCAGCTTTTCTAAAAGATACCAACACTTGGCACTGATAACACCTCCTGACGTGACTCAGTCCTTCCAGCTGCAAGGTTTTGTAGAATCCTAGAATGGTTTGGGTTGGAAGGGACCTTAAAGACCATCTCGTTCCAATCCCCCTGCCATGGACAGGGACACCTCCCACTAGAGCAGGTTGCTCAAAGCCCCATCCAGCCTGGTCTTGAACACCTCCAGGGGTGGAACATCCACAGTTTCCCTGGGAAATTTCTTGTGGATGCTGGAAGCTGAGCCCGCATCTCTGTCGGTGGCGTGGGCCCATGCTGTGCTCCACGGGGCTGGGAGAAGGTGGCCTGGGGCTGTCCCACCCTCGCCGCTGCCCCGGCTCCTGTGCAGCTCTCGCCGCGCTGCGCTCCTACGCTCCTGTCACAATAGTGACTTGCAGACATGGAGCTTTTTTGCCGGTTGCCATGGTTACCTCTCAGCTACCCGCATCTGAGCAGTGGAGCTGAGGAAGAAGCAATAGGTTTCAAGCCATAATGAAATGCACAGCAGCGTGTTAAACTTTGAACCCAACATGAATATCGCTAAGCAACATCCATCCGTGATTTGCCATAATTACTGCTGCGAGCTCCTCACCACTGACGTGCTGGAGCAGAGGGCTGCCTCCTCCTCTGCGTCAAATCCGGTGTTCTGCCAGGAGCTTCACAAGGGCTCAGACCTCTGATGTTTCTTAGTCCCTTCACAGTTTCAAAGAGCTAAGTTTGACCTCTTAAATTACTCACACCTTCAGCCCAGCAACATCTCCCAAATCTCCTTTCATCTGGATCACCCGCTTCCTTCTCAGTCCCTCCCAGGAATTTATTTTCAAGACCTTTGATTCTTCAGCCCTAGTTCCAAAATGTGACTCCAGCTCATTTCCTGCAGGCTGCTTCTTGCATGTTTGGAAGAACTGATTCCAGCATCAAAACGTGCAGGTAGCTGGTGCTTGGAGCTGTTTGCTTCAGTACCTGCCCCAGAAGGAGCTGATGCCTCCAGTCTTCTGTGGTGGTGCTTTTCTGCTGAGAGGTCTTATTTAGAGTCTGTCTGGAACAATGTATTTTATCCATCAGTTTGAGAAACAAAATAAAAGCAGACACTGTTTATGTTAGGGATGTGGTGTAGTGGTGACCTGGCAGTGCCGGGTTAGTGGTTGGGCTTGATCTTGAAGGTCTCTTCCAGCCAGGATGATTCCATGATTCTGTGTGTCCACACTCAAGTCAAATGAAGAATTGCACCACCCAGCACAACAGCAGCTCTTGAATTAGTTGTGTTGTGCTTATGGGTGGGGTGGCTCAAAACGTCCCTCGTCCTGTGCCTGTTGCCTGCTCGTCAGTCTGATCTGGATTCTGAAGGTATTTTTACATTTACAGCACTGGAGATCCCTGTCCTAGAGAGGAAAAACTGGTTGATCTATCTGCTGTACGTTCGCAGAGACTACGACGAGTGCAAGGTAAGAGCTGCTTTCAGGACTTTGCATTTAGCAAGTGTTCTACTGACATCATGAAACAAGAGTTTTCGGACCAATTTTCAAACCACTCGCTTTCCTGGCTTCTTTTTCAAGAAGGACAACAGGAGAAAATGCAAATAAAAGAACTGTAATCTTCTCAAATCCTTGGTTGCCTTCAGGATCTGTGAGTGCAGTTCTCTGGGAGCTCGGTATGTCTTTGGGAGTGGAAAAATTGAAAGAAAAATGGAAGAAGGAATGTTCCAAATGATGAACAGGGTCTTCCAGACCATGTCCATTGTCCAGGTCTCTTGAAGGTACTACAGAGATGCAATGAAGAACACTTGGATTGAGTAAACCATTCCAACCAAGTCTAAAAATAAGATCTTGATTCCCCTTGACCAAAATTCTTTCATTTTACACGTGATGCATTGCACCCTTTAATTTCTCCTGGGTTTGGTGGGTAGCTTGGAAGTGTTTTTTTTGTTGGGATTCTGACAGTAACTGGACTAAGGAAACAGCAAATCTATTATTAAATAGTGTTCTGCTTATAAAATGAACATGAGCTATTGAAGACGATGTGCCAGTGGGCAGGAGGAGGGAAATAAGAGTTGTCTTTCTGTTTCTGGCCTCCAGAAAGATTTGAAAAGACTTTTTTGTGCCTGAAACACCAGGGTTGGTCAGGACTTGTCTCTCTCAGCTGGAGAACTCCTGGGGGTGCTTAGGAAGGTGGCAGGCTGGAGGAAATTCATTTAGCTCTTAATTAATGGAGCTGGAGGGTTGTGGGTCAATAGAGTGGTTTCCTCTCTGATTTTGCTTTGCTTTAAATAGATATAAACAAAAGTTGGGCTAGTGATCTAAACAGAAAATTTTGCTCTGAATTTTGCTGGACCGTCTTTCCCACTCAGTGCTTTGAGATGTTTCCTCTCTAACATGGTTTTTTCAGCTCCCCTATTTTTCCATGATCTAAAAGGTGACAAAACCCCAGCTTGTTTACCCACATTGGCTCCCCAGCATTCATCCCAGGCTGTTTGCCACAGCAGAAATCTTCTGCTTCTCTTAGTTGCTCTCCTGCCAGCATGTCTAAATTCTATCGGGGAGCTGAATAAACTTGAGAGGAAAAGCTGAGATTACAGATCATATTTCTCAGCTCAAGGCCTTTTGCTGGGGGATTTTTGTAGGGTTTATAGAATTCATCAGGTGGCTGAAAGACAGCTCTCTGTTGCCCTCTCTTGCTCTGAGGCACTGGGTTTGTGGAGAAGGAGCAATGCAGAGTATCTGTATTCGGGAGATGCTTGGTTATGTCTGAGCTGAATGTCCTCAAATAATGGACTTTGTCAAGACTATTATAGAGATGAGGGGAAGGGCGGTCTGCAGTTGTTATTCCTTTCACTTCCTCTCTTCAGTTTTCTTTTTCTCAATGAGGATTCTCCACAAGAACCCTCTTTGCCTTCACTTTGCTTTCCTTCTCTTGAGGTTCACTTCTCCTTGTTTTCACTTCTGTTCAGGTTGGAGGCAGGGAAGGCTGGTACTGATCACACACTTGGCAAAAATTTGGAGCAAAAGAGGAGTCTCGGAGCAGAAACGATGCTCTTGGCTCATGGCCAGACTGCTCATCCTCCCAGAGGTCACTCTTTTTGCCGAGTTTTACTGTTTCAGGTCATGTGTGACTATGGGATGTAGCCAAACTGCACCCGCACCCCAAACTGTCAGCTGCGTGAATGCAGCCAGCAAGAATTTACATTTTCATCATTTTTTCCCCCATTTCCTTTGTGCTCCTCATTTGTTCGTTTGGTTTTCACTGACTCAGCTGCAGTTGCTCCAGTTTGATTTATCTCTTCATAAATGGCCTTGAGTAGATACCCTTATCAGCAGAGGATGCTTCCAGAGATGCCTCGTGGCATTTTCTCCAGGTAATACCTAATTATCCTTGGTAATAGGGATGAACAGAGAAATACTGAAAGGGCTGCAGAATTCCTGGCATGATGCTCTGCACACATGGCAACAAGCTTGCACTCTTCTCTGCACTCTTGTCCCTGTTCCAGACCAGGTGGGTGTGTTCCACCACTGTTACCACCCCACAAGGAAGAACTGTGGCCGGTAGTACTGGGGTAGTGGTGACCCGGCCAAAAAGCTTTTCAGGCAGGAGGCTGCATTTGGTTTGGACGCTCTGCACTTTGTCGTTTCAGGCTGTCATCAAAGAGCAGCTCCAGGAGTCTCACGGGCTGTGTGAATACGCAGTTTACGTTCAAGGTACGTCTCAGGAAGCCTCCAAGAGTCTGAATTTTGCTCAAGCAACTTCTGAGCTGAGATAGAATGAACAATAAGAAAGGGAGCAGGTGACAGAAAGAGGGAAATTCATGTGGAAAAAATATTTGATGAGGAGTTTGTCATCAGTTCCCCCTTGGACCATGGGCTTTTGGCCTTCACTGGTTTGTGCTCGGGTTTTGTGTGTGGTTGTGTTACAGATGCATGTTTTCTGTTCAAGCTGCCTACTTTGGGTGATTGTGGTCTTGCTGTCTGCTTTAAGGATGGTCTTTCCCCTCCTGTCCTGCCACCTAAAACATGGGACAAAAACATGCCCCAAAACTCGGCCTTGCAATTCAAAGTGCTATGGTGGGAGACAGCTGAGATTTGGTGGCCAAGGATGTACTGCAGCCTGTGGAAGCTGGGTAGGGGAGAAGTCCAGACTGCATCTTAAACAAGCACTTGGCCAGGGTTTAAAGCTGCCTTTTTGCTGAAAATCAGGAATTTTTCCAGGCATGCAGGAGTCCTTTACGTGCATTGTCATTCTGCTCTCAGACCCAGCTTCTGCCTGAGGTTGCTGCAGGAGGGAGGAAGACCAAATGAGCATCATCATTCCAGATCTGTACTCCCCCTTCTTTCCCTGCTGCCAGAGGCATAGTTTTCCTGCACCTGCAGCTAATGGACTAATGTGCTGGTATTTGTTGTCTTAACAGCTTTGATATTTCGCTTGGAGGGGAAGATTCAAGAATCTCTTGAACTTTTCCAGACGTGTTCCATTCTGAACCCTCGGAGCGCCGACAACCTCAAGCAGGTGGCACGGTCCCTGTGAGTGTTGATTTGGTGTTGCTCGTGGATGTGCCACCCAGAACCTTCCACTGTTTGTTTTTCTCCCAGGCATCAAGTGAAATCCCAGGGTGCTTAGTTCCAAACAACCTTCCTCCTTACCAACACTTGACTCCAGCTCAAAAAATGTGGGTTTACCCTTAGAGAAGCAGAACCTCTGTCATCTGCCTTTTGTATTTCCTTTCTCTTAGTGCTTTAAACAAGAGGTAACACGCTGATTTCTAGGTCCAGAGCAAAGGGTACTGACCTGAGCTGTGTAAATTCACCCTACGGTCCCCTTTCTGGCTCTGAACATCCCCCGTTAGACCACTTGTCTCCTTCTTCTGAGACGAAGCAGGCTGCAGAGCCTGGGAATTCATCCCTTGCCTCTCCAGTAACAGCAGGGAGTGCCTCAGCCCCTCGCACAGCTGCTGACCTGAAAGGGAGCAGCACTCCTATTATAACATCTCCAAGACTGAACTTCTCATCTCTGGAGAACTGGCAAACTCCTGGTTGTTTTTCACTGGCAGAGGTGGGTTTCAAAGGGAAGTAAAACTAAACTCAGAAATGCTTTCGCAGGTTTCTTCTGGGGAAGCACAAAGCAGCCATCGAAGTGTACAACGAAGCAGCTAAACTCAACGAAAAGGACTGGGTGAGTGCTTCAGCCAGCTGCAGATTATCATGGCACCAAGGTGCTTCTGCAGATTTACAAGGGCAGCTGCAAACTTGTTCCAGGCAGGGGTGAGCTCACGCTGCCTGCAGTCGCAGCAGAGCAGGAGCTGCAGGGCTGGGAGGCTTTGCCTTTTAGCAGCATCTGGGTTGGAGCACAGGAGCAAGGTGTCGTTTCTACCTGCAAAATCCCACATCTTGCCTTGGGGTGCAGAGAATCCAGCCACGTGTGGAGCTTTGCAAAGTGTCAGTGCTAACATAGCCTTATAATAGATGTTAAGGGAATTATGGGAAGCCCTCAGTTGTCATAAAAACTTGCTTGGGTAACTGGGAAACATTTTCTCATGCAGAACATTTTTGAAAAGTGTTATGCTCAAACTAGCAGAGAATGTTACATAGAGTTGTTCTGGTTGGCAGAGACCTTTAAGATCACCAAGTCCAAGTGTTCACCCAGCCCTGCCAGGTCCCCACTGACCCATCTCCCTCCGAACACATCTCCATGGCTTGGAAAGCCCTCCAGGGATGGGGACTCCACCACTGCCCTGGGCAGCCTGGCACAGCCCTGGACAGCACTTTCAGGGAAAGAATTGTTCCTCAGGGCCAACCTAAACCTCCCCTGGAGCAACTTGAGGCTGTTTCCTCTTGTCCTGTTGGTTGTTCCCTGGGAGAAGAGCCCAACCCCCATCTGGCTCCAACCTCCTGTCAGTAAGCTGTGGAGAGCCAGAAGGTCTCCCCTGAGCCTCCTTTGCTCCAGGCTCAGCATGCCCAGGTCCCTCAGCTGCTCCTCACCACACTTGGGCTCTAGACCCTTCCCCAGCTTTGTTCCCCTTCTCTGACCATGCTCCATCCTCTCAATGTCCTTCTTGGGAGTGAGGGGCCCAAAACTTGACTCCAGTATTCGAGGGTCAGCCCCCTCAGTGCCCAGTCCAGAGGGATGATCCCTGCCCTGCTTCTGCTGGCCACACTAGTGCTGATCCAAGCCAGGGTGCTGGTGGCTGCCTTGGCCACCTGGGCACACTGCCGATTGATACTCAGCTGACTGTCCACCAAGCCCCCCAGGTCCTGTTCCCCCTTTTCCTCCCAGCATTACCTCTGTTGCAAGATGTGGCTGATGGCTAGAGGAGCAATAATTAAATTAGCTGCTCTCAGAAACCATTTATACGGTGGGTCTTTCACATCTGCATCCCATAGCTAACCAGGCTGTGCTTGGCAGGCCATAACCCTATTTACAGTGGGGATTTTGACCTGTTATTTCCAGTTACCCCTGGCTCAGCACTGGGAGCAGAGCCAGCCCGTGCTTTTCCCTTTCTCCGTCTTGTTCTGCAAACTGCAGTCACCAGGAGCTATGGATTCATTGCTGTTCTCCACAGCTGGAGAGACTGTGTGGAGGAAAATACCATTCTAAGGGGGCTAATGGGGAAATAAGAGTTTCCTTTTAAAGGTCAAGGCTGTCTAAACTGATGAAGCAGTGAGATGTTTACCTGAATAGAAAGGAGGAGCCAGCAGACCTTACTCTTCAGCTCCTCAAACCACGCTGGGCTGGGGAAGGTGGTGCTGAGCTTGTCAGTTCAACTGTTGATGATGAATTAGAGGCATGAGCCATCCCTATGACGTCACCAGCACATCGCACATCCTCCTTAGGGATCTTCCTACTCTGAGGGATATCAGCCCCTCTGGTGCTCGACTTCTAGCTTGGAAAATGAGGTACATCTTCAGGTTTTGTCCAGGTGGGTGCAGCATTTTGCGTAGCCTGACTGGACAGCCAGATTGAGAGGCACCCATGAGGTTTCAGAAGCCTCCCTGGGAGCTGAGACACATCTCCATGAAGAAACCAGGTCCCTGAAGTAACTTGGATTTATCAGTTTAGTCCATCTGCAAAGTGAGAAGGGTGTGGGCAGGCACAGGGGTGTCCCCATTGGGCTCAGGGATGGCTGTTACCCCTGGCAGATTATGGAGTGTGGTTTTTGTACCTTGTGCTGATTCTTTATTGATTGTTGCTTTTTTTTTTTTCCATACAGGAGATCAGCCACAACCTGGGCGTTTGCTACATGTACCTGAAACACTTCAACAAGGTAACACAAATGCTCATCTTACCTACCTGGCAAATGGGAACCAGGGTTTACAGGAATTTCACTTTCTTTGATAGATGGAAGTGGATCGTTTGCAGTGAGGGGTATCAAAGAAGTTTTTTGTTTCACTGTTTGTTTCTTGGAGCAGAAGTGTAGAATTAAGGTTTTATTAAAAAGAAAAGGTTCTGAGCTGTCCCTGTTTTCACTGGCATGTTGAATTACTTTGAGTCAGCTGCAATTAAGCAAAGGTGGATAAGAGTGAAACAGAGCTTGGTCTCATTGGAAGTCAGGAGGCTTTTTCTGAATGAGAAGCATTTCTGGTTTTAAAGGGAATGTTTGAGAAACCTCAAAGAGGTGCCTCAAATAAGAGAGAAAACCAGCTCTGCTCCACCAAGAGCTGCTTCTGTTTCTGAGCCTTTTAAAGCCAGAGCCATAAATGCTGATGGTTTTGTGAGGAGCAGCAATTTAGAAACATTTTGTTCCCAATTTGGCCCAGCTGCTCCCTGCTGCTCTTTTTGGTGGAGTCCTGTGGCCCTTGCAGCAAACCCCTGCTGTGTCTTCTATTGGAGGCATTGCTGTAAAGCAAGAAGCTCTGGAGTAGAGCTTCGTGCTTGGGATTTGTTGCCTGCACTAACACCTTCCAAACTGAGACCTCCTGGCATCTCAGTCAGAGCTGTACTGGTCAGAGAGATGTACAAACTCAAATAGAGGTTCAGGCCCACACTCCTGTCCTCCACGGGAGGTCATTGCCTCTTGGCTTGGTTTGAAGCACGCTGGGTTGCCTTCTTCTGTCCCTAAAAGCACGTGGCTCCTGATCCAGGACTTGCTCCAACAGTTTCGCCATGCTGGGTTCCCCAAGCCTGGGGGTGTGAGCTGTTCTCTTTTGCTAGCTGCTGAGGGTTACTTTGGGCTATTGCTTCATGAAGGTCTCTAATCACTTCTTTATTTTTGTTTTATTCTCTGATTGTGTGTTTAGGCACGAGACCAGCTAAACAATGCCCTGGAGCTCAACAAACATGATCTGACTTACATGATGCTGGGAAAAATCCACCTGATGGAGGGGGAGACAGATAAAGCCATTGAAGTCTATAAGAAAGCTGTAGAGTAAGAATATCCTGTTTTTATCTGCCCACATGCCTTCCTATGCCAGGAGGAATTTGCGTGCTGTCCCAGATCTGAATTGAGGACGTGATTGAAAAGCTAATGGTAATTCTAGCATCTCTGTGCAGAGCTGGCACTTTGAGGCTCTTCAGCTGTCTGCTCTCAGCTGTAGTCCTCCTCCTGCTGACAGCGTGTCGGGGAAGAAGGTGGCTGTTTGAAAGTCTGCCAAGAAAAGAGTGGGAAAACCAAATGGACGGAGATGCCTGAGAGCAAACCTATCCCAATCTGCCTTCCTGAACCCCAAAGGTTTATCTTGGAAAAGCCTCTAACCCCGGGTATCTCTCTGACCCCAGTCTGTCAAAAAACAGTTTGCTGGGTTTCACGTGCTGGGTTCACTTGGAGTGATTTGTGTTTGAAAGCAGGGGAGATGGGGTGGTGCCTGGGGAGATTCTCCCACCCCACCACTGCTCCTCAGCACCAATCTGTCTTGGTTTAGGGCATTCATGAGCATCTGATTTACCAAAATGTGGTTACCCCAGTGCTCAGCTCCTTTCCCTTCTTCCTCACTCCTGGTTTTTCTCTTTTTGTGTGTATTCTCATCTACCTGCTGCTGCTACCAGCTCCAGGATAGTCTGTCATCATTTCGTGTATGTCCACCACCAGGTAGAGGTGGGTTTGTTCTGGTTGAGGTTTAAAGGTGCCAGTGTGAGTGCACAGGTTAGAGTTCTTTAATCTCGATAGCAATGAGTTGAAAACTTTCCTTTTGAAAGTGAGTGAGGCCACAAGTACAGTGTCTCTTTCTGCTAGTTCTTTTTTTGTTTTGTTTTGTTTTGTTTGTTTGTTTGTTTTGTTTATTTATGTCTTCAAAAGCTATTACTGGTAAAATGTAGCATCGTAATTCCATGTTCTGTTTTCCCTTGTCGTAGAAGTTCCCATAAGTGACACAGCTCTCTGGCTTTTACAGGTTTTCTCCAGAGAACACAGACCTCCTCACGACACTGGGGTTACTTTATTTGCAGGTAGTCTAGAGCATTTACTATTCTATGAACTTAGTTATTATCAAAATGACCAAGGGATTATTTTATGGAGTTAATTTCCATCCACCTCCTTATAACTTGCACCCATTTCTTTAAAGACTGCATTTACCCTGACAGAGCTTGCTTTTCCAGATCTTTTTTCCTTTTGCTGCTAAAAGCAAGTTGATTTCCTGGCCTTGAGCCAGAGAAGGAATTGAGTTTGGCAAGCACCCTAATTCTGTTCTAAATCCTCCCAAGTATAACAAGACAGGACGAATCATTACTTTGTTTCTGGAGCAGGAGTCTAGCAAGTTATTCTCCTCCGAAAGCAGCCGTGAAATTGCTGCTGTTAATGCACCACAGAAGGAAATCAGAATTGGTTTCAATAACAAAGGCATGCTTATCACTTGGGTCTGTTAAATGTGTGGGGAGGACCATCTGATGATTCCCAAAATAAGCCTCCCAAAGAGGAAATGAGCAAAGAAGAATAGGCAGCAGTGCCTGAAAGGATCAATGGGCTGGAAAACTTGCACCACTTGCTGATGTGGAAAGATCCAGAAGCATTTCCACAAACCACTGAGGTGCTTAAGAAGCAAATGTAGGTCTTGGAGAGACAAAAAATTGCCTTCCTCTGGAGACAGGGAAATTCAGTAGGAGCTTGAGATGTCTTTGGTAGCTATGTGTGGATTGAGAAGGGAGTATGATGTGGGATTTGTAAGATGGAAGAAATATGAGTGTAACACTGGTCCTGTGACTTTAACCCCCAGGTCTCTGGGCTGTGGTTCCTTTATTTGGTTTGTCACACCTCAGGGTACGTGTTCACCTTCGGAAGTCTTCAAAATGCTTCTCCAGCTTTCCCACTTGCTCTTAACTACAGAGGGCTGGGCTCTGATGCATCAGAATAATTGCTGGTGTGACAGATGGGCTTCTCATCAGTAGCACAAACTACATCAAGACCCCTGTTTTGGTCGGAAAAGTGAATCCAGCCCAGAAAAAGAAATTTTTAGACTCTGTTTTTGCTTTCATTATCAAACAAGGACATGGGTGTGTAACGGGAGCACTGTAAAATTTACTTTCCTGAATATTTGTTTGAACTGGGCCAGAAATTCTAGTGCTCAACAAGTATGTGTTCTCTTTAACTCCCCTTATTCCTCAATTTCTGATGCTTCTTTACTTCTTTTCTCAGCTTGGGGATTACCAGAAGGCTTTTGAACACCTCGGGAACGCGCTTACTTACGACCCAGGCAACTACAAGGTATCCTGTGAGGAGGGGAAAGGATGAAATGATGAGATACCTCCTGAGGCCAATTCCAGCAGCCAAATATTGCCTCTTATATCCAGCCTGGATCATGCCCAGAAAGCATCCTCCAAAACACATTTCTAGGACCTTTCCTTGGGTGGGAATCTGGTTGTGTGTGGAGGCAGGGAAGGGGAAGGAGGCAAAACATGGGCTGGTAAATTGATCCCTTTGGGTTTTAGTCTAAAGTTGCACCAAAATCAGATGGAATTAACAAATGCGGTTTACTTTGGAAGGAAAATCTTCTAGATGTTGTTTCAAAAATCCCGAGAGCTGCGTCCAGGTCCCTGTGACTCTGAGGCACAAGTGATGTTGTGTTAGGTTCTTCTCCCAGCTGCTGATAACGCTGATGTGTACAAATGGGACTTTTCCTTGGCTCTGCTTTGGAAAGCTGAGCTTGGCATCTAGGTTTCATTCCAGATTGTGAAACTACTTCCCTTTTTAGCTATGTTACTTCATTTCTCTCTGCCTGTTTTTATTCTTGACACGTGTGGCTGACAAATGATAGATGGGTGCAAGCCAAGTGGCATGGTGAAAACACCTTTGCACTTAAAAATTTTACTTGCTGCTGTGAAATATTACAAAAGACTTCATTTGTGGGGTTTAAATATAGTGTGTTGTAATTGCTTGGGTTTTTTTTTCCCTTACATATTGCCATTAATTTGCAGTATCAGCCAGTCAGTGTAAGCTGGGCTGGCTTGGCCTTGCTGCATACAGCTTGCTGGAGTGTATATTTTCTCCACTTACTTGCACCAAAATAATTTCTACCTGTGCTCGCTGGTAAAAAGAATTTCTTAGTGCATAGATCTTCTCAGAGACTCAGATCCTAGGAGATGCTGCTGTCGCCCCAAAACATACCCTAAACACTTGCCACATTGCAATATTTCTGAGGCAGTTATGATCAAGCTAGTGCAGGACTTGAGTCCCTTCTTCACCTGTCTTCTGCTATATGTTGGGAACTTCTAGAGTCCCCATCTGCTCCCCACTGTTGGTCTTGGCAGGCCCTAGAAGAACACATTTGAAAAAATGCAATGGTTGCTCTTGAGTTTGCTTTAGCTTATTCATTTTCTCCTGTTGTCTTTTGCTGTATTTGGGAAAACGCGGCTCCTCTGCTGGTCACCCTTGTCTTCTCTCACAGGCCACCTTGGCAGCTGGCAGCATGATGCAGGCCCATGGGGATTTTGATGTTGCCCTCTCCAAATACAGGGTGGTTGCCAGCTCCGTGCCCGAGAGCCCCCCACTGTGGAATAACATTGGGATGTGCTTCTTTGGGAAAAAGAAATACGTGGCAGTAAGTAGCTGGTTTCTTTCCTTTTGTCATCTGTAGCTAACTTCACTCAAGGAAAAGATTCCTCTTGTAGCAGACAGGAGGCCTGCTCTGGGTGGGCTGTGTTACAGCACATTTGTCCCTCTTTTAAAGGCTGTCAGCTGCCTGAAGCGGGCAAACTACTTGGCTCCCTTTGACTGGAAGATTTTGTACAATTTGGGGTTAGTCCACCTGACGATGCAGCAGTATGCGTCTGCCTTCCACTTCCTCAGTGCTGCCATCAACTTCCAGCCCAAGATGGGAGAGCTGTACATGCTCCTTGCAGGTACCCAGCACCGGTGGGTGTCCAGCTCAGGGGACACAATGCTTTACAGACAGAAAGTTTGGGCTGAAGGAAGTAAATATTGGATAAAGGAAGAAGCTGTTCCCCAGTAGGTATAAAATCTCAATGTTTCTGTTCTCTCACTACAAATAGGAAGGTTAAACTGCAGTCAGATCCAAATTAAATGTTAGAAAAGACTTTCTGTGTGTAAGAGCTTGGGTTGGGGTTGCCTAGGGGGTGGGTGTGGATTTCCAACACTAGACATTTTGGGGATCACCTCTCCTACAAGGACAGGCTTAGAGAGTTGGGGTTGTTCTACTACAAGGCTACCAGGAGACCTTCTTGTGACCTTCTAGTATCTGAAGGGGCCTACAAGAAAGCTGAGGAGGGACTTTTTACAAGGGCTTGGAGTGCTAGGATGAGGGGCTATGGCTTCAAATTGGAACATGGGAGGTTTAGGTTAGAAATGAGGAAGAAGTTCTTCACTCTGGGAGTGGTGGGACACTTACACAGGTTGCCCAGGGAAGCTGTGGATGCTCCATTGTTGGAGGTGTTCAAGACCAGGTTGGATGCTGCTTTGAGCAACCTGCTCTCGTGGGAGGTGTCCCTGCCCATGGCAGCGTGGCTGGAACGAGATGATCTTGAAGGTCCCTTCCAACCCAAACCATAATGGTTCTATGATCAAGCGAGACAGAAGTGACCTTGAGGGTTAATCCTGACAGCAGTCCAGACAACCCTGCTAGCACTTATTGTACCACGTAACAACATTCAGAACTGTCCTAAAGACAGAGCCCTGTGAAACATCAGCTTATGGGTTGTCCCTTTTGCCTTGGTGCAGTTGCTCTGACGAACCTGGAAGACATCGAGAATGCCAAACGTTCCTATGAGCAGGCTGTGGCACTGGACAAGTGAGTCTTCAGCAGAGCTGCTGGGCGTGTGACCACATGCCTTTGCCTCCTTGGTTTCCTTCGTCGTCCTTCTGCCTACTTTGACCCTAAACATTTTGCAGTAGGAGAACACTTTTGTTCCTGCAGTTGTGCAAGTAATGGTTTTAAAACCACCTTTTTTTTAAAAAAAAAAAATAAATTCAAGTCAGCCCTGAAAAATATAAAGGAAATTTTGTTTCAGACCAATCCTTGGGAAAAAACCTGTTCTGAACTGGGCAGAGGGATGGTTTTAGCCAGGAGGAACTTAGCATAAAGCTTCAGAAGGGGCAGCAGCGTGGTCCTGCCTCCTCTGTTTTGTTAGCAAGGTCTGTGTTTGCAGCCTAGCTCTTGAAATCCAAGCACTTGGTTTCAGAAATGTGAAGGTGAACCTTGGGGTATTTCATCATTTCAGGCAGAAAACCAAATTTATCTCAAATTTCACCTCCCCTCTCCTCCTTCACTGTGTATTTTTGTACCCGCACACTAACCAGCATGGTGCTCCTGAGCCCAGGAGTCCCTTTGCTGGCCACAGAGCTGTGGCAAAAGCACTTTCCATCTGCAGTGGCCACCACAAGGTGACATGAGAAGATGCTGGTCCCTTTTCCTCTGTCCTCTCTAACCTAGGTGGGCTGGCCAGGCTTTATTTGGGGAATTCTGGAAGTTCTGAGGCCCCTTAGGAAGGGCAGCAGGTTTGCAAAAGTAGCATTTGATGCCATAGTCCCTTTCTGTTTGTGAGGGAGACACTCCAAAATGTTTTCTGGGAATTATGTTGCTGTAAATATGTTTGTAGCAGCATTGGGACATTTGGGCTGGGTGCCCTGCTGGGGTCTGGAATGGAAAAATCATTAAAAAAGGTGTTACTTCTTCTTCCTGCCTCCAGCTCAGAGCTGTCCTTTCTTTCTAGGGTTATTTAGCTATTGATTTTCTAACTGGCATTTTCCTTCTCAGCTTTTCAGGGCGAATGAGCTTAGTGAGGTTCAGTCAATCTTAAAACTGTTCCAGATCTGTCTGATCTCCTCTGTGTTTCATTCTGTAGCTTTGGGGGTTAGCGTTTTCTTTTTGGCTTCTTGGTTTTTAGAGAGAGTGGTACAGAGATGGGTTTATTTCTTTTTTTCATTCATCACTTCCTTTGCTTTGGCACAGACAGTGAGGAGGGTTTTTTTTTCCTGTGGAGGGATCAGGGTTCCAGTTTCTCAGTTAAAGGCAAACCAGTGGTTGCAAATGCAACCAGGTTTCTTTGCATAGTCTTTTTTTCTTCCAGCCCCATCACATATCTTAGTGAGAATGGATAGTCATGGTCTGCAGATGACAGTTTCTATTCATTGAGCACTGCTGGCAGAAGCCTCCCCTCCTCCTGAACTTTCACCCTCTGCCTTGCCCCTGCCCTGGCGTGGGTGCTGGAGTCTTTGGGTGCCTCCAGTTATCCCAGGCACACTCCAGGAGAGGGCACCAGACTCTCACTCATATTTTTTGATGCTCAGAAGCCTCTCTCACAGACCTGCGTGCAGCGACACGTGGATGCAGCTCCTCTGCAGGGAGCTGCTGTCAGACAGTGCTCTTCCAGGCACCCCTCCACAGCACGTCCCCTGCTCGGGCCAAATCCAGCCTTTGCTCTTCCAGGTCTCACTGAGCTGAGCATCCACATGAGCTCCCGTGCTGGGGCTTTGATCCTCTCGCATTTTCTTTCTTTGTTGGATAAGACATGTACGTTTGCTTCTCCAACATAAGGGTGGAATTCAGACTGCTGAAGAATAGGCAGAGTGCTTTGTCGAGTCTGGTTTACAAGGATGAGTTCCCCCAGAGCTTCACTTCTCAATTACGGAGCCAAGGGACTCAACCTCTCTAGTTTGCTCACACTCCTGGCTATGCCAGAAGAAAAGCTGCTTTTGGAGGTTAATGCATCCTAGTGAGGCTAACAGCTGCTGTGGAGGAGCTCTGGAGCTCTTCTTCGAGCCCTTCGTGTTTGCTGCAGGTGCAACCCCCTCGTCAACCTGAACTACGCTGTCCTGCTGTACAACCAGGGTGACAAGAAGGGGGCCCTCTGCCAGTACCAGGAGATGGAGAGGAAGGTCACTGCGGTGAAGGAGAGCAGCACTCCTGACTTTGACCCTGAGGTAGGTGCCTAACGGTTGTCAGTGGGAACCGAGCAGCCACGCTAACAACAGAGGAGGAAATTTGACTTCCCAGTCCAATTATTAGGAAGAAATTCTGCTGATGAGATTTTCCAAGTAGAGCGGTCACCTGCTGAGAGCTGCCCGCTTCATTTCTGCTCTTTGAAGCCCTGTTCTCCAATCAATGCACAGCAAGAGAAGATTCCCTCTTAATTGAGGGAATGAATTAGCAGAGATGTTTCCCTTGAGCACCAGGGCAGTAGCCACCTCTGCACAGCTCTCGGTTTTTTGGTTGTTTTGTGTGTGTGTGTTGTTGTTGCCTTTGTTGTCTGAAGTGTTCCTGTTTTTTTACAATGGTCTTCTCTTCTTGCCTCTTGAGAAGATGGTGGAGGTCGCCCAGAAGATGGGAGTTGCCCTGCAGGCTGGGGAGAGCCTGGTCTGGACTAAGCCTTCTAAAGAGCCCAAATCCAAGCAGAGAGCTGTGGCGTCAGGGAAATCCTCCAGCACTCAACAGCCTTTGGGCTCTAACCAGGCCCTGGGCCAAGCCATGTCCTCGGCTGCAGGGAAGACAGTTCGGCTTCCCCCAGGTAATTCTCCTTTGCTTCCCTTTCAAGTAGAGCTGTGAGAGAGGAAAGAGAAAACTCCCTTCCTTTGAGTGCTTTTGCAGGGCTGTGGTAAGCCAGTGACATTTCCCCTCCTGTCTGATCCATGATGGGCAAGGCTCCATTTGCTTGGGCTTGAGGTCTTGAGATCTGAAAAGTAGGTTGTGTAATCCAGGCCTCTTTCTTTGGTGCACCCCTAAGGACCTGTTCCATTTCTCACACATAGAATGAGCTTTCCATGCAGGGAAGACATAGCCAGAAAAGCTGAGAAATAACAGGAATTTAGAGTTTACCTGAAGGACTTCATGATCCAGAGAAGGCTTGTTCGTAAACATCAATTGTCAGCTGAAACAAAATACTGGTTTGATTTTCTTCTTTAAGTAGCTACTTAACTGCCTGGAAACTGTCCCTGAATTTGCTGGAACTGGGGACTGAAAACAATCCTGTGGGTTTGACTCCAGCTTGAGTAAAACCCAGCTTCAGTAGAACCGTTTTGCCTCGTTAAAGTTAATTCCTATGTTTATAATGAGCTCCTCTCCCATTAGCTTCCCTCCTGCAGCACTTTGGGGACTGTAAGGTTGCTGGCTGGATAACTCACAGAAGAGTTGAGTGTTATCAATAAGCAAATGCTAGGCAGAAGAAATCTGAGAGTAATTAATAGCAGTGATTGCAGTATCTCCATATCTGCCTGGAAGGGCAAAACCCATGGTCAGACCCCAGGCAGTCATGCAGTAACTTAACGTGTGTTCTCTCCCCAGGTGCTGGAGCATCAGCTCCGCTTGCAAAGCCTCCCTCGCTGCCTCTGGAACCAGAATCGGGCTCAGAAACGAGCCCTGAGGAGACCTCAGCACCACCAGAGGCTGAGGAAGAGAAGGAAGAGAAGCTCAAGAGCCAGCAGGCCGCAGAGTAGGATGGGCTCTGGTCGGGACAGGCGGGGGCAGGAACATCTCCAGAGCTACCTGCTGACCTGTGGGCAAAGGGACTTGCCCTCTCCCCCCACCCGTGGTGGCTTCACCCCACCACCAGTTAGTCTAAATGCCACTCTTTTCTCTTGATGAGTTTAGCACATGATCTCTACTTGTCCCAAGGACTCGTTGCAGCAATCAGAAGAGGTTTTGTGTAGTAGCTACTCTTAGTGTGGTCAGAGCTTACTACAGGAGACCAGAGGCTGAGAGAGTTGTGCTTGGACAGCCTGCAGAGGAGAAGGCTCCAGCCGGGGAGACCTTCTTGCGGCCTTTCAGGACTTCAAGGGGCCTGGCAGAAAGCTGGGGACAGACTTTTGAGCAGGGCCTGTTGGGACAGAACATGGGGGAATGTTTGAAACTAAACGAGGGAGATTTAGGCTAGGTCTAAGGAAGAAATTTTTGATGCTGGTGGGAACTGAAGGTGGGACCATCGTACTCCACATCAAGAGCCAGTAACTGGGTTCAGTGTCGTTTTCTCAGCCTCCCCTCTGGGTACCAACAAGCACACAAAAGTGACATCTCTTGTGATGGAGTTGTCCAAACAGTGTCTGTGCTCCCCCGAAGAAACTGAAGCTTCAGGGTTCAGTGGCTTTGTGTTTGAGGCTGCCCAGGTTTTTAAATTCTGTTTTCCTGCCTTTAGTTCTTTGTGTCACTCCGTAATTAACAAGTGCAACAGAGGAAGGTTAGTGATGGAAACTTCTCTGGAGCAACAAGGCAAAAACAGCGTGACCAGGGCTCTGGGGACGTCAGCGTCCTTCAGCTGTGCTTTGTGGTTAGCTGCCGTTATCCAGAATGATATTAATGCATCTTCAGAGCTCCACAAGCCCTGTCTTGCTCCCTGGAGTACACGAAAGGAGCAGGAACCCTTCACTTCCTCCTGCCTGGGTTGCCAAGACTGCCTGCTTATGTCAAATGTGACTTTCTTTTTTCCAGCTGTCCTCTGCTGCTGGGTTTTCTGTTGCTGCAGCTCCAGGGTAGCACTCCTGCAAGGTTTCCCTCATGCTAGGAGTCAAAGAAATCAGAGGATCTTTTGTGGAGCTCTGGCACATTTAAACAAACCAGGCAAGAAAGTGGCAATCAGGTACAGTGCAGCCTTTTTTATCCCCAGGACACCTGACACCACTGTGAAGACAAGGGCAAGGTTGTGGAGCAAGGGCAGGCAGGGCACGGGAACTCTATACCTCAGCCCCCAAATTTTAGTTCAAGAGAGTTTTTTTTCTGATAGCAACTGATGGCTGTAATCTTTTAGTCTTAGTACAAAGGCTCCCAAACCTTGGAGGCCCAGTGTGGGTACAGGTGCTTATGAAACACGTTTGCTATGTTCAATAGATGGGAACAGGCCTGTCCCACCACTGATCTCAGCTTACAGCCCACCAAAGGCACAAGGAACAAAGATCTCATCTTCTCTCCCCCAGTCCCACTGGTGCAGCCTCTCACCTTCTTGACTCTTAGGATGCTTTTATTGGGGAAATGTTACATGTTGGTACATACATGACATTTGGAGGTACTGTAAAGGTATTTAAAATAAACCTGTATTTTGGTGAAAAGCTTCTGCAGACCATTAGCTGGCTTTTCTATGAGAAGAAGCAGTAACACCTGGTGACCTTCTGGATTTGAGTGCAGCAGAAGGGAGCTTCATGTCCAAGGAAGTGTCTTTAAAGGTGTAATTACATTTGGACAATTAAGAGAATGGCAATTTCTCACCCTGTCCCCTCTCCTCTCCCTGGGTCTTGTGGCGATGCCACCTGCATGCAGTAAATTCACAGTATCGTTACAGAGGTGTTTTTTTTTTTTTATGCTATCTAGAGATGAGAATGAGGCTGGACTGTTCCTTCAACTGGAATTAAGAAAAGGATTTTCCAGCAGGACTGTACTCAGTCATTTAGGGATTTTGGAAATCACACCTTATGTTCCAAAACCTGCTTCTGGCATCAGCCCTAATCCTAATCTTCTCTTCTCCCCTCATAATTGAAATTTTAAGATGGAAAAGAATAATGAGTTTAATTCCTAGGGAAGCAGAAACCATCTGCTTTAGGACATTTTTGCCCCTTTTTAGAAAAACGTCCATCATTAACTCAGTTAAATCACAGAGCTTACAAGGCAGACTCCAGCTTGGCTTCCTCCCAGGCAACAAACCAGAAGCCGCTCAAACAGCAAGACCTTGTTGCAGCCAAGAGTAATGATCTGTCCATCCAGCAAAGTGCCTTCAACCCAGACCAGCTTGGTTTTGAGGTCCCCAAGGCAGCTGGATGCCGACTGATGACCCAGGCAGCATTGGTGTATGCTTGGCATGCTCCTCCAGGTGATCTTGGCCTCATGGTGGTCACTCACAGGTCACTTTGAGCAAGGTGGACCTTGGGTCCTGCTCGACCTCCTGATCTTGTGTAGGATGGTAAAAATTCAGCCTTCCCCCTTGAAAAGTGGGTTTCACTTGGCAAGAGATTTGAAACCAGGCTGTGCCAAGGAGCAGCTTTCCTGAGAAATTCATGGGGGAAATTTTCAGGATAATTTTGGGGGGTTAACAGGTTTTCTGGGTTAACGGTTGGATGCGATGAGCTTAAAGGTCTTTTCCAACTGAATGATTCTATCTGAAAAAGAACTTGTTGCAAATAGTTTTCTCTGCCCCTTCTCACTCGAACTTGAAAAACAAAGAGCAAAGACAATGTTTAATGTGCTCGTTTCTCTCTAGTAAACTCATCAGTGTTTCAGTGAAGAGTATGAATCTGTTGTGGTATCTGGTTTTAACCAAGGAGTCTACACATATAATTGTCTCTTAAAACATGAGACAACCATGTTGGTACCATGCTGGTTTAAAACTTAACTGTGTTTTTACCCAAATGTTAATTGCACTAGAGAAGAGCACAATTAATACAGCTCAAAACATTTGACAATCAAACTCTGCTGATTTTAAAGGCCCCTAAGGTGATGCTGGTCACATCCCTGCCAATGTTTTTTGGAAGAGGAAAGTGAAACACAGCAGTGGGACCGTTGCTGGCGGCAGCTTGTGTGTGTTTAGATCTGTTTTGGTTCCAGCTGGAGGATCCACACAGCTTGCTCCCATGTCAGGAAGCGGGACCCAGCCTGAGCGAAGGCTTGGTTCTCCAGCTGGCTTTGGTGGCCCTATGGGGTCGCTGCCCAAAAGGCTACCATCAAAGGTTGAAAAGTAACCTTGCTAATGGCCACAGAACTTTGAGACAGCTGAAAGGAGGATTTTTAGATTTATTTTTTCTCTAAGAAGACTAAACCAGGATCCTAAGTCACACACGGATGCAGACCCTCCTCCCCTCTGGATGCAGACTGACCTAGAGTGTCCTCCTACAAATTGTGGTGTGGCACAGGCCTGCACAGACACGCTGGCTGGGTTTGATCCAGTTACACTGAAAAAATGGGTGTGAAAGCTATGCAGATAGGCTTGAAGGTCCTGGAAGTGGACAGAGACAAAACCGTGCTGGAAAGAGACCACAAAACGCTGGTGCCACACAACCTATGTGAGACTGTGAAGAGAAATAAAATACAAGCAAAGTCTTTAACAAGGACACACAGTTCCTTTTTAATTTCAAAGGCTGTCCAGAGCAAAGAAACTATCAGTGACCTAGTCAAAGAAAACAAAAAACAACCCAAACCCACCCTAAAAAACTCCTCACTTCAGTTTTACCTGGAAGATGCTGCTTCAGCTTCTGGGGCCTTCTCTGATCTGTTATTAACCCTTCTGAATGGAGGGCAGGAAAAGGAAGAAAACTGCACGAACATTCTCAAGCAAACAAAAATCAGTCTCCAGCCCTCGGCAGCTTTTCTGTACACCACCAGATAAAGCACTCACTGCAAAGAACAGCAGCTGTGACCCCTCTGCTGGAACTCTTGGTATTTAGTGAACAGGAAACACTAACGGTTTGTGGTCTACCTGGCAAGAAAATAAAGCTGCCTCCCCAAATATAAGCCTTCATTGTCTTCACTTCTAGTCACCCCAAACTAACCACAGGCTCCCAGGGCTCAGGTGAATACCTTCAGTCACAGAAACCAGGTACCCCAAACAATATCACAGCCTTGAGGTGGGTTTTCTCTGTGCATTTAAGGAGCAGGGACAAGGTGTGTCACATTTTGGGACTTCTGGCTCCCTCCAGTGCTGAGGGCACCGAGGCTCGGAGAGGTAATTTCATCAGGAGAAGGTTCTTCCATCCCCATCACACGGAGCAAGCGGAAGGTTTCCTCTTGCGACAGGCTGTGAGGAGATGACGCAGGAGCCTTTATCTGTCACTTTCCAGAGGTGAGACGGGGCCCAGCACTGCCCAGCTCTCCCTGGGATCCACAGGCAGGGGATCCTGGCTGCCATGCTTCCCGGCGCTCATGGACACAACCCGCTTGGGGTTACAGACAGCAAAGCCACACCAAACAGGGGTTTCAACACTCGCCTCCCTCCCCGCAGGCTGAAGACAAAGCAAAGCCAATTTTCACATTAAATAACCTAAACGTCCCACTGGGGTCACTGCCAAGCGACTGGAATGTGGCTGACAGTTTATACCTGGAATTATTCTTTGGCTCTTTTTCAGTTCTAGCCTGAAAACACAGCACGCACCCTGGCTCTGTCCTGTGCCACCGCCGGCTGGAACCCTCCTCCGCGGTTCCTCGGGCACCGCACAGCATCGGAGAAAGGAACAAAGGAGGGTCTGAAGTCTTCTACTGAGGATAAATCTCGGAGTATAGGAGTCCTTCAGCTGAAATAGCATCCCCGAGTCCCACGGTCCGGACAGGATCCTTACACACCAACACGGGAGTGAAGTGGAAGGAGATGCCATCCCTGTGCCAATGCACCACCGGCTCGTCTGGATTTAATGAGATTTTGGAAGGCGCCTCGATCTGGGAGGTGACAAACTCCAGAGGAGCTTTGAGAAAGACTTTGCTGGTGTCGATGGTGTCGGTGGCACAGGCCTGAGTCCCCGCTGCTCTGGCACCGGCAGCCACGGCGGCCACCTGGTTGCCCCAGTGCCCATCCACCGTGACCAGGATGTGGTAGGCCAGGGTGTGGAAGTGGACCCGCGTGAGATCCGAGGCCCTCTCCGCTGTCTTCCCGTGCTCCTTCAGGATCCAGAAGAGGATGTCGCTGACCATCCCCATGTCGGGAATGCCGCTCCAGGAGGTGAGGGAGGCGTGGGGACCGGCGGCTGACTGCGTGAGGAACAGCAGCTCCTGCTCGTTCAGCCCGATGGAGTTCACCAGGGGAAAGACCTGCTAACAGAAACACGGGGACAACCAGTTTTCCTTCAGAGGGAGGACCCGGCTTTGGCTCCATTGCTAGCAGAAGGGAGCACCCCGTTTCCTGGAGAGCTGCAGGACAAAGTCACCACATGAGCTTCCCCAGCTCAATGAGTCAGAGGGAATTACTTAGCCAAGAACACGTTTCACACCAAGGGTGCATGCTTGTTTGGGCAATTAATTTTCTAGACAGGCATCTTGACGGTAAAGAGGAACAAAACATCAAATCCACGTGAAAAACACCACTGAGATTAAAGCTGTGTCAAGCTAAGCAAGGAGCCATCAGGATCTGCAGGAAATTCTGCACAGAAATCCAAGCTGGTTTTTTTTGAAGTTATGAACTCAGCTCAGATTCAACTACTGTTTTTTTTTTTTAGAAATCTCCAAGCCTGTCAAATCTAAACCAGTTGAAGTTACTTGTGTCTGTGGAGCTGTGAGTATTCTCCTTGGTCACCTTCCCCCCCATAACCGCAAAACCTCTGTCAGAGAACAGAGCTCAGCTCTGTTGCACAGGATTTTTACTGAATACAGTTGCTGAGTAAGCCCAGATGGGCAAAAAAAATCCTTACTCTGCTGTGAGACTGGAGAAAACTGCTAAAAAAAGAGCTTTTTGTTACCTGATGGATTATGTTGCTCATAAAATCTTGATCGGTCATACTGGCCAACTCTAGGTGTATGGGAATGCCAGCAGGGATATCGGAGATGGAGGCCACAGCCTACAGGGAAAGAAAAAACCCACCCTAAAACACAAATTCATGAAGAAACAGAGCGAAAGAGGTTTGACACACACATCCTTTGATCTTCTTTTGTAGGGATTTAAACACGATTCCAGATGAGATGACAGGTGACAGAACACACTGCTAAGGAGAAGAACTGAAAACTTCTGTTTCTCAGAATGGAAATTCCAGCATCCATCAGGAATATCTGAGCCTAATCTGCACCCAGCTGAGCACTTTTCTAAGGCAGTAATTCAGAAACCTCACAAATCTGAAGCAGATGTAGAACAGCTGATTCTAGGGCAGAGAAAAAGGAAAAAAATAAAGCTAGTGCAGTGCATTGGGCAGGGCACTCGGCTCTAAGTCAGGCAATGATCTGTAAATAAAAAGACAACTTGGTGTCTTTTTTGGGCTCAGAGGAGAAAGCTGCCTCTTGGATTATCTAACACAGATGCTGCTTAAAAATGCAAGTCTTTACTATAACCTTGATCATATTAGGATCTGGGATAGAAGAAATGTCATTCAGCCACTCGATAAGCTCGGTAACTATGCCAACATAGCCCAGCCAGACAAGCAGACCGGGTTTCTTTTTTCTTCCCTAGACAACCCACTGAATCTAAGAAACACCAGCATGACAGGATTAGGCTCCTGCTGCTCCTGCAGTTCACATTCTCCTTTCAGCATGAAATGCTGACAAGATTTGTGGGAGACATGAAGACACAGCCCACTTCAAAGTTCAAACCTGGGCAATGAAGACTGTCATGAAGTGTTTGCTGGAATGGAAGTGAAGGAGACACTGGTATGCCAGGGTCTTACCTCCGTAAGTCGTTTCTGCCGCATCTCCTTGCTCTGGCCCTCCATCATGTGAAGCCCTGAAAGCACCACAAGATCTGGCTGGAATTCATCCAAGCTGGACACAAACACTTCCAGCATATTTAAGGCGCCATTCGATAGGTCGTGGGAGAAGATGAAGCGGTTGGCGTTGGGCGCTTTCGCTTGGCCCCACTCTTCACCTAGGGTGGAACAGATGGAAAGGAACTCAGAAGAGAAACAAAATCAAACCACGTCTCTGGAGATCGTTTTGGGATATCCTGCTGGAAGGCAAAGGCACCATTTCACCATCTGACTCTGCCCAATGCACAGCTCCCAGCAGTCAGATGAGAAATCCTCCTCTTTTTCTCACCCTTTCACTTCACTCACTCCCCTTGCTTCCCTTAGATGCTTCTCTGCTCAGAAGGAAAATTCAATACTTGTTTGGTTGGGCAAGTTTTGTGACAGTTTCATCAGTTGTAGTAGTTGAGTGTGTGATTAGATGAGTGTCTCAACCAGGTCAAGGCATTTTACGAGTGCTACTCTGTCAGTTTTAGTAACCTCCTTTCAGCCAGGGGTCCATCAGCGTGGATGCTCTGGGTGCTGCTCCACATGGATTTTCCTTTTTTTTCCACATGGATTTTGCTGCTGAAAAAGTTTGATTAAGGCAATTGCCCAATACTTCCTCTTCTTCCCCAACAGTGTAACTCTTTTTGAAGCTGTATTTTGAGACAGGACCAGTAAAATCCCACAGTCAAAGGGATGTCAAGGCAGTATTAACAACTGTATTACAAAGGGAAAACGTTTCAAAAGACTTCTAGATGTCTGCTCACCTACCACAGCTCCCTGGAATTACCAGAGGAGCCCCATGACAACTGCCAGTACCCATAACTGACACAGTCCTTCTGGAATTAACTGATTCAAAGCCCAACAACTTCACAACCAGGAATATCTTAAGTGATATCTGAGTTCCCATCTAATGTTCAGCCTTTGGCAAGGTACCTGCTTGATACTCCAAGATGAGATGGAATTCATCCCTTTCCTGCATGGATTCAGGTGGGACAACCACGTTGTCATCAAGTAGTTCATGGAGTTTAGGACCAACTGGGCCACAAAGGAGGATCTAAAGAAAGGGACAAAACAATCAGGGCTTCCTTGCAAGGTCCCTTGCCAGCATTTGAGAGCATTTAAGCATCATCTAGACAACTGGTTTCAAAAAATCATACCTCAATTTTAAAAACTTGGCGATGCTTCTCAACTTGTAAGGTATGTTTCAACATAACTTAAGAAATAACTGCAAGATCCCCCAAATCTACAATCTATAACATGACCTCATTAAAGGCAAACGAACAGCATCATGTTTTTGGAACATGTACCTTCAGGTCTGGATTTGTTGCAAGCTTCTGACCAATGAGAGCAGCATTTCCTCCTACATAAAGCTGCAAAACAAACAGAAGAAGGTGTGGGTGAGCTTTGCTTTGAGAGCTCTGTATCCTGTCTTCAGAACAGGATAGAGTTTTTAGCTTTCTAGAAAAGGATCTAGCACTGCAGAATCATAGGATTGTTCTGGGTGGAAGAGACCTTTCACATCATCGAGTCCAACCATTCCCCCAGCACTGCCAGGGCACCACTGACCCATGTCCCTCAGCACCACACCTCCATGGCTTGGAAACCCCTCCAGGGATGGGGACTCCACCAGTGTCCCAGGCAACCTGGACAACCCTGTTGGGGAAAAAATTGTTCCTCAGGTCCGAACTCAACCTCCCCTGGCACAACGCAAGTTGCCTCTTGTCATGTTGCTTGTTCCGTGGGAGAAGAGATCAACTCCCACCTGGCTCCAGCCTCCTGTCAGGGAGCTGTGGAGAGCCAGAAGGTCTCCCCTGAGCCTCCTTTGCTCCAGGCTCAGCACGCCCAGGTCCCTCAGCTGCTCCTCACCACACTTGGGCTCTAGACCCTTCCCAAGCAGCTTCGTTGCCCTTCTCTGGCCACGCTCCAGGCCCTAAAGGTCCTTCTTGGAGTGAGGGGCCCAAAACTGACCCCTGTGAGATCTCAACATGTTGAATGTTCTTTTAATTTTTTTAAGCTAAATATTCCCCTTCAGGTGACAGCCCTGGACCAATCAATTCGTTCCTAACACAAACAGCCCTCACTTCTGGGCAGCTCCTCTGCGGCAGTTGGTAACTCATGTTTTTTTAGCTATCATTTCAGACTGCATTGATGCTTCCCCCAGTTTGAAATCAAGGTCCAACCTGCTACCTGTGCCCACATGAAACAAGCAGAACCATCAGAGTCTCTTCAGGTTAGCAAGGTCAAACTTTCAAGTAAGAAAACTCTGCTGTGAGCATTGAAATTAAAGAATATAGATTGGCATGGAAGTCACAGGCACTAAGAGGTGACAGAAAAAAGGCTCTAGCAGAGTACAGTTAATATAATAATTGGGTGTCTCCAGAAAGCCAATGTCAGAAACATGGTGAGAAACAAGTCCACGCAGGAGAGTCTTGACCAATAAAAAGCCTTTAGAGCTCTTCCTCCTTTACCAAAAGCAGCTGGTGACCCACCCAGAAGGCGGCATGAAGCAGTCTGTAGGAATCAGCTACCTGCTGAGCAAGGTCTCCAGCTAGACTCAGAAGACCCAGTATAAATTACAGTAACAAAACTTTGCTTTTGGAAAAGAAGGCTTCAGGAAAAAAAAGCCATTTATTGCTTTTCATCACTCCTAGAAAGAATTTAAATCCTGCACTAAGTAGCTGAAGCTGATCAGAGCATTTACAACTAACACTTGGATCTCACTTCCTGCCTCACTACAAGGTGTTGGAGCCTCTTTTACAGCATCAGCCACATCTGGCTCCCATATTACAGAGGCATCTTAGAGTGACATTTCAGTTTGGACGAAGGAAGCAGAGGATTGACCATTCTAAACCCTACTGTTTGCAGCAGGTGCAGAGCTCCGTGGAAGGCCATAGAATCATAGGATCCTTTAGGTT